TCAGAAATTCGATTCATCCGGACGAGCGTCGTTTAACCCTCTGCACTCCGAAATTATATTTCAATTTTGTTACATGCAGCTCCCTACAAAAAAAAAAAAAATTATTAATAATTACGTATAATTTTTAGTTTTATAATAAAAATTGACTATTAATAGCGATATCTTAAAACGAAACACAATGAAATTCTTATGAAATGACCTTATGGTATAAAAAAAAAGTTATTTAATAATAAGAAAAGTCAATTTTTAGTTGGCTAATAAAAATTGACTATAGTGATATTTTCAAATGAAATGACTCGATCGAGGACGTTAACCCTTTGCACTCCGAATTATATTTCAATTTTGTTACCAGTAGCTCCCAACAAAAAAAAAAAAATTATTAATAATTACGTATAATTTTTAGTTTTATAATAAAAATTGACTATATAGTGATATCTTGAAATGAAACACAATGAAATTCTTATGAAATAGCCTTATGGTATAAAAAAAAGTTATTTAATAATAAGAAAAGTTAATTTTTAGTTGGCTAATAAAAATTGACTATAGCGATATTTTCAAATGAAACGACTCGATCGAGTTGAGTGTTTTATTTGAAATTTACCTGTTGAAATATCTGTTTTATTTACACTGTTGTTGCATTTTATAATTTTCAAGACTCAAAGACAAACTCTTTGGTTTGGATTTGAATAAGTGTCGACTGGAACTCGACGAAGGAGTTCCTGAGATAAAAATTGATGTCGAATCACGCTCGACATAGTGCAAAGGGTTAAGAATTCCCTTCCTGATGGATTCGAGATTCGAGCAACGACCGTGGAGACGAAGATCGTATGATTATGCCACGAAATGGTGTAACCAGAGAGAGGAGAGACGGTTCGGGGAGAAAATATGTAGATTTCGGGCACGATGATCCGAGGATTCGCGTAACGGGAAATCTGGATTCAAGGTCGACGCGATCTTCGATCGAGGCAGCGATTTATCGCGATTCGATTCGATAATTAACCTCTTGATTGCCGGTGCACGTGGCGGCATCCACGTCGCGAGATTCTCCGGATTTTTCCGGTTTATTATCTCTTAAAATTATTTATAGAATGCGTAAAAAATAGAAAAATTGTTGTCTGATTACTTGTACGATGTTACGGTACCGCAATAATATAGTGATTACATCGCGATGTGCAATCGTAATCGTGAATTATTTAACCGTTGGATTACCTACCGTTGGCAATTGCAACGAAATTCCTGGGTAATTACGAACGCTACTTTGTAGAGTCGTGGCGAAAGCAAAAACAAAGTTCTGTATGCAAGAATGTTAATGAAACATTACGATATCCAACTTAATTTGTACCAAGAATTGCAACTTAACGTGAAAAATTTTATTTTTAGACGATTTGGAAACTCCAGCTGCATTTTCCTCGACGTCTGATCCCGAGAATTGTTTTTGGAATATCGTAAAAAAATATTTACACCGAAAAAAGTGCCCCTTTTAATCGCGCTGTCGCGATTTATGAATTCCAGGATTCCACGGGCGCAGCGCCATGTTTATTCCATTTGCATATCGCGTTGCGTAGGCCAATAATTGCACACGTTAACCGATAATTTCCTTATCCGCGGAGAAATCAGCTTCTTTGTAATATTTTGAACCGTCTGGTTGGAATCGATGAATATTCAGACAAACGTCGTCCTCGGTCGTTGGGCGTACGATCGTTTCAGGATTATAGCACTCGAACGCGTTCAGGGACAGCATTAGACAGAGAAGAATTAGTCCAGTTTCCGGATTCGTCTAGACAAGCCAGAAGGTTGATCCGTGCAGCTCGTACGGCCAATTTAGGAACATTAACGAACAACAGACTCTGTACCTGGATAAAGTAGGAAAACGAATCAAGTATAGTTTAAACGATAGAGAGGCTCGAGCTAAAATGTCGTGGTCCAAGTTTGGAACGTCTATAGCAGAGAGAACCGAGTCTGTAATTTATTTGAACGTTCCAAGAGGATGTCTCGAATCTCTAACCTACTTGGACGTGTTTCAAAATGGTAAACGATATTTTGTAATCAAATCGAGAACGCGGGGAGGACAAAACAAATCAATTTACGCGAACGATGGGACCATAACTAAATTTTCTAATTAAAACGTTTAAGTTTGATAGTTTAGTGATTCGAGGGGATGATGTTTCAATGCAACTTTCGTTTTGAGACCGTGTTTCCTTCGTTGGTCTTCACCAGCGGCAATAAACAGGATATTAATCGTTACGAATAGATTTCCCGAGGCGGCACCTTCGGGAAATGCACGTGCGCAATAACCCAGTGATTAGCGCGCCAAAATTCAACATTTCAAAATGGTAAACGATATTTTGTAATCAAATCGAGAACGCGGGGAGGACAAAACAAATCAATTTACGCGAACGATGGGACCATAACTAAATTTTGTAATTGAAACATTCAAGTTTGATAGTTTAGTGATTCGAGGGGATGATTTTTCAATGCAACTCCCGTTTTGAGACCGTGTTTCCTTCGTTGGTCTTCACCAGCGGCAATAAACAGGATATTAATCGTTACGAATAGATTACTTCTGGTGCAGCGTGCAACAGGTGTGCGCTTATTCGTTGGAAATAACGTGAATAGCTACAGAAATTCTCCAATAAAAATTGGAGAACAGCAAAGTGGATGCATTACTGTTTTTATACTGTTTTTCTTCGAAATTGGGACCACGCGAGGGGAATTTATTTATTTCACTTCGAAAAATTTTTAAATCAAGGTCCATTCGATAAATTTAATTTATATTCAATAAATTCAATTTTAATTTATATGTATTCGAACCATGTAAGGGGGATTTATTTATTTCATCTTGAAAAATTTTCAGAATTTCACTTCGAAAATTTCTCAGATCGAAGTCCATTCGATAAATTGAATTTATATCTAATAAATTCAATTTTAATTTATATTTATTCGGACCATGTAAGGGGGATTTATTTATTTAATCTTGAAAAATTTTCAGATCGAAGTCAATTCGATAAATTTAATTTATATTCAATAAATTCAATTTTAATTCATATTCAATAAATTCAATTTTAATTTATGTTCAATAAATTCAATTTTAATTTATATATATTGGGACCATGTAAGGGGAATTTATTTATTTCACTTCGAAAAATTTTCAGATCGAAGTCCATTCGATAAATTTAATTTATATTCAATAAATTCAATTTTAATTCATATATATTGGGACCATGTAAGGGGGATTTATTTATTTCATCTTGAAAAATTCTCAAATCGAAGTTCATTCGATAAATTTAGCTGCTTGAAATGGGGAAAATTGTCGAAATTAATATTAAGACGCTCATCAGGGTTTTCATAACGAAATACGCCTTGAAAAATATATTCAAACGAGTTGTAAACAAGCCTTCATTTTTGGGTCTGAAAGTTAAAGAGTGTAGTCAAAATTGAGACGTTATTTTTCTCGTAAAATAAGTCGATCGTTTCGAAAGAAAATATCAGGTCGAAAGTTGTAAATTCTGTGTCTTTTTGGGTCTGAAAGTCAGCAAAAGTTAGTCAAAATTGAGACGTTATTTTTCTCGTAAAATAAATCGATCATTTCGAAAGAAAATATCAGGTCAAAAGTTGTAAATTCTGTTTCGTTTTGGGGCTGAAAGTTAAAGAAATTAGTCAAAATTGAGACGTTATTTTTCTCGTAAAATAAATCGATCGTTTCGAAAGAAAAAATATCAGATCGAAAGTTATAAATTCTGTTTCGATTTCCGCGTGTGAGTTTGAGTTTGTAAATACTGGACCCCAAAATGGAGTTTTTTCTTTTAGGAAGTGTACTCGAAATCAAGATGGCGTCATGTAGAGTTTTTCCCAAAGCATTTGAAAACGCCAAGAATGTCGTTTTTATTATGTTTGTCGGAATAATTTCTGTGCAATTTTGTTCTTTTTTTTATCGTAATTTCCCCTTCCTCGTTATCTGCGTGGTGTTGACGCGGCAGCGATCGTCGCCGATGGAGTATTTTGCGTGTTACATAACCTTGATTGAACGTCTGATTGGGTCAAGTGGTGAGAACAATAGTTGGTATCTGTCCGTCTCTCCTCGCTGGGCATAACCCTATTTTACAATCTTAATTCATCACATCCGCGGCAACTTTACCCTGCTTCCTCGTTGCCGGAAGTGTCGCGTTCGCGTCTCGTTTCGCGGCTGATAATCTCGAAAATTAAAAAGAAAGCCCAAGGTCGTCCCTAGAAATCCCATCCTCATCGTCCCTCCGTATCCTTGGTCGTAAACAGTTCGTTGCCTTTTGCCTGTTTTTCTACGTTTCTTCCGCGAAACGAGAGGCCACGAGTTTACGAAATAATTCACCGCTGGTAACCTTCGTTTCCCAATTTTTAGAGATCCCATAAAAGAGACGACCATTCCAGGAATTCCATAATAAGGAAATCTAAATAAAATTACTCACCAGTGTTTTTTGGGGGGACATAAAATTTTGATTCCCCAAAAAATCCCATAGAATACTTTGGCTCCAGAATAACAATTTTTCTCGTGAAACGCGATGAGTCAATTTCATGAAATAACTCTCCCAAATTTTCTACAAAATCTTAAGCACCAAACTTGGTATCTCAGACAATTTTATTCGCGCAAATTTCGATGTAAATGATATTCTTAATTATCGTTTTTTTTTTAAATTTTACAAAGAAAGTCGATATTTTGAGATCTATTTTGGCCCTGAAAAAAGATTCTATATTATCCTTGATATGTAGAGCAGAGGCTGTGTTTCGAATCGTAGGAAGAAATGGCGAAAACGGGAACGGGACATGCTGTGCGACGAGTTGCGCGTGCTTTGATAATCCGCACCCATTATGCGCATACATTATGCATAATGGACGGTGTAAACTCGTTTACAAATTGTACGTTTGTCGATACGCTACCGTACAAGCTTACTTCGAGCAAACGTTTCGCGCGGAATTTATCAGATATCGAGCCACCATTCGTCAAACCTCGCTACAAAAGACACGAGTTCATCTGGGTAGCGTTTATTGAGTTTATTACAGAATGTCGTACACTTAAAGTTCGTAAACACAGTGTTTCCGGTCGCCAACGGAATTAAAAGTACATTTAACATTTGTTTTTTTTTTTTGGTTGGTTTTTTTTTTTAGAAATTTTTCAGAAAGATTCTTTGCGGAGGAACGTTTAAAGTGCGAATTATTTTTCAAAGATTTATACCTACCTATGCACAGAACTGTGTATATCACACCAGTACGTGTACCATTTTTGATTTTCATGGACGAAATCGCGAGAATCGAAACAGAGAGAGAGAGAAACCAGAGAATTAATATTTACATTTCATTTCGAGGGTGTTCTCGCGATTTCTTGACTAGAATTTTCGCAGAAAAGACGGTCGACACGATCGAAAGCTTCGACAGATTCGAGACACCAACGAGAAATACTCGAATGTTTGTTCGAAACCGATCGAATCGACCAGAAACGGGTTCCGAAAGCGTAAATAAAATATTAATGCGATCGGATCGAATTTAATTGGATTCGGGACAGTTGAAACCAAATTGGATCGATTTGAACCGAAAGGAGACAATTTGAACCGATTCGAATCGGTTCGAACTGCGTCAGATTCGTTTAAAATTAAACAAAATCGAACAAAGTAGAACTGAGTCGATCGTAAACGCATCAGAACTAAGGAAAAGTAAACAAAACCGATTCAAATCGAAAAGAACCAATTTGAACCGGTCCGAATCGGTTCGAACTACGTCAGATTTGTTTAAAATTAAACAGAATCTCACAAACTAGAACCGAGTCGATCGTAAACGCATAAAAACTAAGGGAAAGTAAACAAAACCGATTCGAATCGAAAGGAACCAATTTGAACCGATTCGAATCGAAAGGAACCAATTTGAACCGATTCGAATCGGTTCGAACTGCGTCAGATTCGTTTAAAATTAAACAGAATCAAAGAAACTAGAACCAAGTCGATCGTAAACGCATCGAAACTAAGCAAAATTAACCAAAATCGATTCGAATCGTACCAGTTTCAATCAAAACAATCGAATACGAATCAATTCGAACCAATCGAAGTGCCAGTGACCGCCAAAAATTGATCCAACGCGATCAAACCGAAGCAAACAAGTCCAAACTAGTTCACGCTCGTCCAAATCGATCCGAATCGGTTCGAACTACGTCAGATTCGTTTAAAATTGAACAGATTCGAATCAAACCAATTCATATGGAACCAAACAATCTGGAACTCGAACCGAGTCGATGGTAAACACATCAAAACTAAGCAAAATTAACCAAAACCGATTCGAATCGTGCCAGTTTCAACCAAACCAATCGAATACGAACCAATTCGAACCAATCGAAGTGCCAGTGACCTCCAAAAATAGATCCAACGCGATCAAACCGAAGCAAACAAGTCCAAACTGGTCCGCGCTCGTCCAAATCGATCCGAATCGAAGCGCTTCTAACGAATTCGAAACGAATCGATTCGAATCCACTCGAATCGAACCGAATCGAACCGACTCGAACCGTTCCAAACTTGCTCGAACATTCCCATAATCGATCTTCAGACGCTCTTCTCCGATATGGTGCTCCTGATGCTTCTGTTGCTATCCCTCCTCTGCAAAGTACGAGCGTGCCTTGGAATGCGTACAGGCGTTTCTCTGTCGCTGCCCACTCGTCTCAGGCTCGTGTCACGTTCGATTCGAGCGTTTTTCGGCGCCACTGGGCCCCGGATGTTCGTGTAGACCACGTAAACCGCCAAAATACCGACGACGAACATCGCGATACCCACGCCGCTCACCGTGCCAACCTGTCGTAATTTATAACAAAAATTATCAGTTCACAAATTAATTTTAATGAACGAGAAGGTTCTAAAAAATCTCATAGTTTCGTTGACATTACCAAGCTCCTCAAAGGTAAATATCTCTCGAATTTAAAAAAATCTCATCAGTCTACTAGTGGAAGACGAGATGTTGGCACATTAGATTACATAATGATGATCAAGAACCCATAAAGTGCCACCGTCTCGTTTCTCAATAGTATAATACTCAGTGTTTAGCGTTTCCCCTTTTTGATTCCAAAGATTTCAAGTTAAAATAAGCGAATACTCCGTTCAGGGTACTGTGTGCTCGCGAGAAGTTGGCTAGTGAAAGGAATGCGGGCCCAATTGGCGCGTGGATCCCCCCTACTATCGATCCCATCGTCTCTATTGGCCGCCAAGGCGGTGAAAGTGGGGATGGGCGGAGCGATCGAAGCGCCACCCCAATTCCCCCGAGTGAAACGCGTCAGTCGCGGTCGGTAACACTACTCTCGCGATTAAAAATTGATTTTACCGACCATAGTCCACCATTCGTTGTCGTCCATCTCGGAGACGAGGACCTGCGCTGCCTCGTCGTCCTCCTCGTGGAGCAACTTTATCTCCTTGGCGGTGGTAGCACAACCAGTTCGCGTACCCTTTTCCTTGCCAATCAGCTTCTTAAAGGCTGCTGGCATTTCGTTCTTGGCGGGTTTCTCGTCGTCGTCGTCGTCATCGTCGTCGTCATCGTCGTCATCGTCGTCGTCGTCGTCGTCGTCCTTCTCCTCGGACTTCTCGTTGCCCCAATGCAACGACACTTTGTTTTTATGGACGACCAAAAAGCCGAGTGTCTGCAACTCCGCGGCCTTTACTTTCATCGATAGCTCGAGGGACATGGGTGTCGATTGCGATTCCTTTGCGTAATCCGCCAGGACGTTCGACAGGACGTTGTTCCAATCCACGGCGTTCACCTGGTTCTTGCACTTTTTTTTCTTGCTAATCAGGGTAGATGGAATAACGAATTTACTCGATCGGGATACGATGCACGTAACGGTTCCGACTTTTGTAATATTTAAAAACACGTTCGGCGAACGTGCGCGGAATTCTGAACTAGTCAACTAACGCCATTTATCCATACTTCGAATGCGTTTCGTAAAGAATTGCACACGTTTCGTTCAACTTCTCATTCTTGCACAAAAATTAAAATCTCCACTATTTTTTTTTACAAATTACTTGGTTCCAGAAAAAATGTTCAAAAAATCCAGTTGGAACTTACAATTTCGAGCACGTTAACCCACGGGGTTAATTGATTGATTTTAAGTTTGCAAATTGTTACAATGACGGTCAATTAATCTGATTGTAACGAGCCCGTCGCGAATTAATATAATCGTTTCGTAATGTGTATCGTAAAAAGTACCCGACAAGCACCGCGATTTGTATTCGAAACCGCGGTAATCGAGGCAATTAGTATACCGTCGAGCGTCTCCGCGAATCAATTTATCGCCGCAATTAATTTCAGCGAGTGTAATTTTTAAACGATGGTAATTCCACGATCGTATAGTTCACGCGTTACACCCTTCATGTAACTTTCTACGCGAATGATCAACGACTATCGAAACTATCGTGTTTACCACAGTGTCTCCAATGCTTTCGCGTAGATTTTTATCGCGTCTTCGAGCCACCTGACCTCCCTCAGCTCCTCCGCGTCGTACTCTCCGCTGTCCTTGCCCGACCACCATTTAGATTTCTCCACTCTCGCCTCCAGTCCCGCGAATTCGTTTCTAAACGAAAATTTAGAACTCGTTAACCCTTTGGAGGACAAATTTTTAAAGAAATTCAAACGATAGATACTCAATAAAGCGTATAATGGTGAAAAAACAACGGTAAATGTGCAAAAATTGGGGTCCATCGCTTCTCGTACTCGCCACCAGAGGGCCACGCTCTTTACTCTCTCGCAAGCGCTCGATCTACCTTCCATTAGTATAGATACGTTCTTTTTAAAGGATATTTCACATTATTAAAATGTTCTTAAGTCGTATTGTGAATATAATAAAATATAAATTTCTAAAAAGAGGCTATAAAAAAATTTTTTATGTTTCTAGTAAAAATTAATAGAAGTGTGATGATAAATTAAAATTCTCTTACGTCATATTGTGAATACAATAAAATATAAATTTCTAAAAAGTGGCTATTAAAAAATTTCTTATATTTCTAGTAAAAATTAATAGAAGTGTGATGATAAATTTCTAGAATCATAAATATTACGAGAGATCGAAAAGATCGAGCTCCATTTTTCGAGGAACAAGTGGCTTCCAAGAGGCGGTAAGAATAATAAAAGATTGCGATCCAACGTAGCGCGAATTAAAAAAACATCATAAGAGAAGAAAGATCGTACAATAGAGATATCATGGAGCTCAATTTGTAACTGGTAATATTATTTAACCTCGAACGATAAAATCTAAATATCTTCTTCGAAGGTAAAAACAAATTATACTTAACCAGTTAAGTGTGTTTGACGGCTATATCCGTCATGCAGATGTGGCAGAATTTTGTGTCGTGACGACTATATCCGTCATGCGTAAAATCTTGATACAAATTGATATTTAAATTGTAATATTGGCGAAAACTAAATTATATTCGTAAATTTTAATATGTTTAAAATGTTTCGAGGTCAAGGCAAAATGAATAATCGAGAATATATTTTTATTTATTAAAATGTTTCTATATCCGTGATTCGAGCTAGAAAACGATATTGGAACGCGCGGTTTTTCAATTGTAGCGGTTTGTTAATGGAATAATGGAACGGCGGGGATGTGTTAATGAACTCGGTAATTGCGTGTATCGTTTGCGTGCATAAACAGTGGTATTTCTATCACGATACAGCATTATATGCAAGAGATGATAATTACACGTTTAAATCTGTTTTCATGAATAGTAATCGGCGTGTTTAATGATTACATAGATTGAATTTAAACACGGGCGATTAGATGCAACACGCGAACGTAACCAGTATTGGCAGACCAGCGTGAATATGAAAGATGCCATTTTTTCAATTGTTTTTTCCTTCTTTTTTCTATTTAAAACGTGTTTCACGGTGAAATACGATTATACGTCTTTTGTCAACGATCCGCGGTTCAACGGGTGGATGTTGAAGCAAAAATTATTATCCTTGGAGACGTTTATTCTCAGTAGATTAATTAAAATATTCTGCAATGAATCGTGTTGGTCTTTAAAAAAAGTTATTTTTGGTCTTCTTTTCGCTATTTTAATCCTACGTTTATGGGGTATTTTGGAGGTCTTGCAAATTTTAAAATTTTTTTCTAAAAATCTGATTTTGTAATTTGCTCTAAACGTTGATCAATTAAATAACATTTTAAGTGTATTTAGCAAGTATTATGAGAGTAGATAAATTTGATAAATTTTGTCAAAAATGAGATAAATAGAATCTAATAAAAAATCTGATTTTGTAATTTGTTCAAAACGTTGATTAATTAAATAACAATTTAAGTGTGTCTAGAAAGTACAATGAGAGTAGATAAATTTGATAAATTTGGTCAAAAATGAGATAAATAGAATCTAATAAAAAATCTGATTTTGTAATTTGCTCTAAACGTTGATCAATTAAATAACATTTTAAGTGTGTTTAGCAAGTACTATGAGAGTAGATAAATTTGATAAATTTGGTCAAAAATGAGATAAATAGAATCTAATAAAAAATCTGATTTTGTAATTTGCTCTAAACGTTGATCAATTAAATAACATTTTAAGTGTATTTAACAAGTACTATGAGAATAGATAAATTTGATTTTGGTCAAAAATGAGATAAATAGAATCTAATAAAAAATCTGATTTTGTAATTTGCTCTAAACGTTGATCAATTAAATAACATTTTAAGTGTGTTTAGCAAGTACTATGAGAGTAGATGATAAATTTGGTCAAAAATGAGATAAATAGAATCTAATAAAAAATCTGATTTTGTAATTTGCTCTAAACGTTGATTAATTAAATAACATTTTAAGTGTGTTTAGCAAGTACTATGAGAGTAGATAAATTTGATAAATTTGGTCAAAAATGAGATAAATAGAATGTAATAAAAAATCTGATTTTGTAATTTGTTCTAAACATTGATTAATTAAATAACATTTTAAGTGTGTTTAGCAAGTACTATGAGAGTAGATAAATTTTACAAATTTTGTCAAAAATGAGATAAATAGAATCTAATAAAAAATCTGATTTTGTAATTTGTTCTAAACATTGATTAATTAAATAACATTTTAAGTGTGTTTAGCAAGTACTATGAGAGTAGATAAATTTGATAAATTTTGTCAAAAATGAGATAAATAGAATCTAATAAAAAATCTGATTTTGTAATTTGTTCTAAACATTGATTAATTAAATAACATTTTAAGTGTGTTTAGCAAGTACTATGAGAGTAGATAAATTTGATAAATTTGGTCAAAAATGAGATAAATAGAATCTAATAAAAAATCTGATTTTGTAATTTGCTCTAAACGTTGATCAATTAAATAACATTTTAAGTGTGTTTAGCAAGTACTATGAGAGTAGATAAATTTGATAAATTTTGTCAAAAATGAGATAAATAGAATCTAATAAAAAATCTGATTTTGTAATTTGCTCTAAACGTTGATCAATTAAATAACATTTTAAGTGTGTTTAGCAAGTACTATGAGAGTAGATAAATTTTACAAATTTTGTCAAAAATGAGATAAATAGAATCTAATAAAAAATCTGATTTTGTAATTTGTTCTAAACATTGATTAATTAAATAACATTTTAAGTGTGTTTAGCAAGTACTATGAGAGTAGATAAATTTGATAAATTTTGTCAAAAATGTGATAAATAGAGTCTAATAAAAAATCTGAAGAAACAGGGACGTCGATCCATATTTCATCGCGTTCATATCGACGTCATCAGGAGCTCCATAAGAAGTTTAGATAAAATGATATAACATCCTGGGTCACATAACAATATATTACAGGGGAACCAAATAATCAATATAGTTCCAGAAAATTGTGAATGAAAGCATAGAAATATTAAACTCTGAATGGCTCGTTAATACGAATACAAAACGAACGATGTATCACATACGTTTTTCTCATTTCTCGAAACGTATCGATTAACACATTTGTAGTCGTTCTTTGTAGGTCGCACACTATCGAGTTTTCGATCGATTAACTCTCGACAATGAATCATTTAGAATTAGTATTTAGCGTGGTGTGAAATTAGTATGTATCCTGGAAAATCTATGTGTTCTGATTGATAGGAATATATGTGATCGGTTTATAGCCGGAGTAAAACAAACGCTTAATAAATCGTCACGTTTTGTCGGTCGCGAGACAACGCTGGAAACCCGCGCTTATGTTTTATTTGATCCCGATACATAATCGTGGCTTCGTTGCATATTCAAGGAACGAGCCAGGTAGTCGCTAATCATTTTTCCACGTACAGGTATCGGTTGTTTCACGCACGACTGCATCATTAGTCAGCCGCGGAATAATAGCTCCGTCAAATCAACCGGAACGTATAACACGGCGCGGACCTAATGAAATTAAGTTTTCTAAAGGGTACATATAGCCGAATAAGGGGGTCAAATGTGCCCTTGAACCAAATTTGACATACGATGGATCCATCGATAGAGCATCAGAAAAAAACTTTCTGTACCAAATTTGAACCCTCTATCATGTTCGGAAGGGTAGTTATTGGGAAAATTCGGATTAGCGAATTTGTGCCTATTTCCCCTATTTAATCGAGTATGAAAATTATGAAAAAAATCTGGTGCATTGCGACTATTGAGATACGTGTTTGAGAATTTTTTCCGATTTTTCGTTTTCAAATCCTAGGTGTGAGAAATTAAAAACGCAAAAAAACGCAGAAAAATACCGATTTCGTATTGAAGCTTCCGAGACACTAGATTTATATAATTACTGTAAATGCATATTGTCATTGGTTATGTCCCTGAATTTTTTCAGATTTTTTGGCAGGGTGCGCCGTAGTAGCAGAAATGAAAAACCGATTTTTTCGGCGTTTTTCGCGTGAAAAGGCAACTTATACTTTGAATTTTTGTATTCCCTTTAATAGATAACTATATTCTGTGGTTTTAAACATTTCCATGTTGTGTAAAACAGTGTATACAAGAAGAAAAGCAAAATGGAAATTAAAATGGAAATTTCAAACATTCCAACAACGGTTGCACCCAGATTTTAAAAGTTAATTCAAGCGTTAATAAAAAACGGACTCTGATATATGGGATTCCCTATAAATGAAAGAAAAAGTGCAATAAATAACGTTCGATGGAAAATGAATGAGAAAAAATTCGCGAGAAGCATCTTTTTCGAGTTTGTAGTATATTATAGTGTGGGAATACGAGCGTGAGCGCAACTGGTATGCGAAATTTGATCAAAATCGGAACTGGCGAAGCGTGGCGGTTCGATTTTTATCAGATTTAGGTATCAAAGTAGGTAAATCGCATAATGTGCAAACCGTGATGTTGCTCGACTGTCGTAACGCATTAGTCTAGTTCTGCTACGAGAGAGAATAGAAAAGCTCGATCTCTGTGTCTTTTTTAACCCCTCAACGCTCATATTTTTCGGGTTAACCAAGAACGATCAGTTTTCATTATTGGATTTCTTTCTAAAAATGCGGTTTTTGTTAATTACAATGTTGCATTCAACGTATAATTTGAAGGAAAACAAATATTATCATCCCTTAAACCATTGGATGAAACAAATATCGTTTTTCAAAGCAGTCAGACTCGAGCATGGACGTTGAGGGGTTAAGCCTCTACAATTCATAGTATATCTCTATAGGTTCTTTAACCACCTCTTCCAAATTTAAATGGAAGATTCCAGGGGCCAAAATCAGACGAAAATCAAGAATACCAATTTGTCGATCGAGGCTTCGTTAAAAAACTATTAACGTTTAAAGTTGCGCCTGGTAAGATGGCAACCTGCGAATAGCTGCTAGTGGTTCTCACCTAAAATGTCGTTTACATCAAAATCCACTGATTAAAAGTTATTTGAAACAATTATTACGGAAAGTAGTGATCGCAAATGGCGAAACAAGTAATTTTTAAACACCTCCAATCGACAAATCTAGCGTTAAGATCGAAAATTGGGAAGAATTTGTTAACGTTTAAGGGGTCTGGTATCTCTAGAATATTGAAAAATTCGAATTTTTTTTTATTGGCTTAAATAATAGTTTGAAGCCTTAAAAACATTATGCGAAAGGTCTCAGTGTCGGAACGATGTTTTTGCTGAAAATTTAGAGCCCCAAACGATGACGTGTATCTGCACCCTGTAGCGCGTTAAAGGCATTTTCCTCGGAACTATGTTTTGCAAAACGGTGTGCAGCATTACTCCAGTTCTAATTAATCAATTGCTTTGAGAATTTACAGTTATCTTTACTATTATATTCATTAGGCATTGGCGATCCGTTTTTTTCAAAATCGTCAAACAATTCTGCAAAATATTCGTAATAAGAACTGGTTTTTGTGTTAAAATTCGATTTCAAGTTTCAAATATCTGCCACATTGTTCATTTTTATAGAAATTGAAATGTCTCGTCGTCAATGCCTAGGACATTTATCATAGTTAATGGAATATTTCGGTTTTTGTTGTACGTAACAACCATTTTACCACAATCCTGCACACCAGCCGGGCATCGAAACAAGAAGTGGCTCGGGAACATGGCGCTGCGTAGGCTTAATTATAAATATTTTTTAAACATTACCAACGGTTTTTTTCAACATTTGTTATACCTAAATACGGTGCAAAGTTTCAGGATAATTGAATGCTTACTTTATCTTCAGTGATGCTTAACAAAATGCCTCGTTTTCCATACCGCTAGAGGTACCAGACCCCTTAAGGGGTTAAGCCTCTACAATTCATAGTATATCTCCATAGGTTCTTTAACCACCTCTTCCAAATTTAAATGGAAGATTCCAGGGGCCAAAATCAGACGGAAATCAAGAATACCAATTTGTCGATCGAGGCTTCGTTAAAAAACTATTAACGTTTAAAGTTGCCCCTGTAAGATGGCAACCTGCGAATAGATGCTAGTGGTTCTCACCTAAAATGTTATTTACGTTAAAATCCACCGATTAAAAGTAGTGATCGCAAATGGCGAAACAAGTAATTTTTAACCCCCCTTCCCAAAATTGGGAAGAATTTGTTAGCAAATCGCGATTTCCATCGTTCGCCATTTACCCTTTAGTTATCGCGTAATTACGGAATCAGCACTCCCATTCTCCCGCGATCATAATTCTCCGCTTTACGAGGCGTGCATTATGGAATCGACTGTTTTATGCTTTTGTTAAACGTTACGCTCTCATTGATTGGATTTTTTTTTCGAAAATATCCGTTCTGCCGATCCGTGCAAAGAACTCGAAAGTTTTTGCATAAAACGATCTAGAATGGCCTTGGTCGCGATATTTACAATGCTCGAGAGAACAACGAGAGCCGTCGTTACTTTGCATCACATTGTTGCGCGCGTAAACTTTCCGATTTGCATGGAAAAAAACGAAAAAAAATGGAAAAGATCATGTCGAATCGCGAACAGGAAATCCCCGATTCCATCGGTTTCGATTCGTCGTTGATCGTGTTTTTTTCATTTTTTCGTCCAAGACAGCTTCCTGAAACTTACATCCGAACGTTTGTTACGTCTGCGCGATTCCTTCGTGAAAAGTTCTGATTTTAAAGCGACGTGATTCACGCGTTAATCGACCGGATATAATAGGACTTCCACCGTATTAATAGACGATTCTTACGTAACGATCCACTGTCCAAAGTGATTTGCGAACATCGCTACCGATCGCGTATCGTCATCGCGATTAAACGATTAATCCTTCGGGACCAATTTAATCAGCGACACTCGGCTTACGTCAGCCCGTACTTTTCTTTTCTTAATCGATGATCGTGTAGCCTGTATCCCACGACATGACTAAATCATTACTCAAATTACTTTGGAAGAAAATATACAATATTATCAAACGCGTTAAGTAGGTTAAACACTCGATAGAAGTATCAAGACCGCCGCCATCTTGGTTCATCTGAGACCTTCGCCTCAAAAAACAGTGCATCAGATATCGTTTGGTTGCAAATATTCCATCACTATACCACAAAATGTCCTCCAAATATTAATCTTTTCCTAAGATAATAATAATTATATTTTTACGAGCCAACCTAACCTCTTAGAAATTATTTTAGTTCCCTCGAACGATTCTCTGACCAATTTAGGAGCGATCCAAGATCTTGCCTGTAAATATTGTATCTCTGTACCACGTTTATCCTTTAAAGCCAAAATGTCTGCCAAATATTAATCTTTTCCTAGGATAATAATAATTATATTTTTACGAGCCAACCTAACCTCTTAGAAATTATTTTAGTTCCCTCGAACGATTCTCTAACCAATTTAGGAGCGAAGATCTTGCAGTTATGTTTTTAATAAATGTACGTTTATCGCGCGAACGTGGCGATTTCGAACTCCCATTGCAATTGAATTACATCCTTGCTCCCAATTCCGCTATATTTTCCTTCTCCTCCGGATGGTAGAATACCATCCCACGCGTATCGCCGTTTAAACATTAAGAAAATATATAAGGCGAAGGAGCACGGACTGGCGTTACTATTATATAAACGATAACGCGATCGGGAATTTTCAATGTAACAAAGTCCACGAAAGGAATAAAAAAAAAAATATTTAACAAGCGACGGACCTTGTACCGGTCGACACCAACGCCACGGAGCAAAACGGAGGACGACGGAAACTAAAAAACATAAGTAGGACAACGGCTCTTGTTTGTTTCTAATTACTAGACCGCGTATCTTTATGCTAATTCATAGTTTTATTAACAGAATCGATGAAACGGGAGCTAATTATAATAAATCTTACTTCAAGTGGTGCACAGTTTTGTAAAATTGTGCCAGTTCGATTCAGCGAGTAAGAATCGTAAAAATGGCGGCAAGTTGGGATGGATAATATTTTATATTTGGTCCTCGTCCTCGAAGTGGAAATTGAACCAATTTGAACGGAGATGATATCGAATAGAAAATTAATTTATACTGGTATTGATATTGGGGTTACCTGGAATCCTCTAGGAGCAGTATAGTGTTCGACGAGTTCACGTGTTTCAAGTGTTCCTCGAGGCGTCCCTCGCTGAGGACCAGAACGGTGGAGTTCGAGGGTTTGCCGAAGAATCCGTCTTCAGGTTTGCCGACATGCACTATGTGTGTCGTCAAATCTGAAAACGATCGAGGATAATTTCATTTTTACGTTCTACGAATACATTTTCTCGAGAGAACAGCTGCTAGTGGCTCTCACCGAGCAGAGCTTCTCGCGCTGAGTGAGAACCACTATGCGCGCGCAGCTGCGCGCAGGCTGCCTATCTACAGGCGCAACTTTAAACGTTAACAAACTAACAAACTAACTGAAAAACTAACTAACTAATTGACAAACTAACTAACTAACTAATTGACAAATTAACTAACTAATTGACAAACTAACTAATTTAATTCAAACTAACTAACTAACTGACAAACAAACTAACTAACTAGCTGAAAAAACTAACTTACTAACTGCAAACTAACTAACAAACCGACAAACTAACTAACTGCAAACAAACTAACTAACTGCAAACAAACTAACTAACTGGCAAACAAACTAACTAACTGACAAACTAACTATCTAACTCACAAACTATCTAACTAACTAATATACTATCAAAATAACTACCTAACTAACAAACTAACTAACAAACTGTTAATAACTTTTTAACGAAGCCTCCATCAACAAATTGGTATTCTTGATTTTTGACTTATTTTGGCCTCTAGAATCTCCCATTAAAATTTTGAGAAAGGTATACAGTGTTCGTGATTAAATTATATCCATTTTGATAATTCATAATTTGAAATCGACTCGAATCTTTTAGAGACCAATTTTAGAATTAATTTCGCGTTGCAAGAATAGTTTTTAACGACTGTCGATAAAGAAGGTTGACGCACCGTCGTCCTCGCTGTCGTGCACCAGTACGCAGAGACCCTTTTGAATGGCGGCCATCGTTAGCTTTTTGGCGATGTTCTGCGCGTCGTCCTCGCCATCGTCGTCTGCGTTCGCCACCAGTGTAAATGATTTCCACTTGAGTTGCTCCGCGACCTTCAGTGCACCCTGGAACCCCATCGAATTTCTGACGGAAACTATGAACCCTTCCAGGCGATCTCGTTATCTTTTTACGGCCAATAAAACTCTCACGACCACAAAATGCACGTCCACGAAAATCGCGCTTCAAATTCCTCGCGTTATAGAATAATACTGGCAAAAATTGGTTAAACGTTTGACGAAGCAACAACAAACTTTTTATTATTTAATTCTGTCCACGAGTTGTGGGAGACTCTGTACAAATCGAGACGTAAAATGGCGCGAAAAAGCAAGTTTGCAGTTCATGTTGTCGCCATCTTTGCAACCTGCTGAGAGTAGGTTCACCGTTAAAAATTACTCTGATTACGTCTGGTGTACCATATAGACGATATTTTTGTTATAAAAGAAAAGAAACGATCTTCGCCGTTAAAAATTAATCTGATTACGTCTGGTGTACGATATAGACGATATTTTTGTTATAAAAGAAAACAAACGATCTTTAGGGTAAAATTGCTGTGTATAACGGACGATATGTATGGTGATTATTACCTGAACCAGATAAGTATCGGATTCCTTCGCGAGATAATGAAGGAACGGAGCGTTCGACTTGTGCTTGACGATATGCGGCACCTTTAGAATCGACGTTATTTTATGCACGGCTTCCGCGTTCGTCGCAGTGCTCGGCCCAATAATTCCTGCAAGAATTTCAACAATTTTTCCCTGTATATTTACCGACTCCATAAAGCACGATAACGTTACAATTTTTTTAGAATCTTAAAATTCTTAAGCACGACGTCGACTCATTTATAACGGGGTAAATTGCATCGTTTATCATTTCAAATCGATCTTCGAATAGCTTTTGCGCGATAGAAATTCCGATACGAGCTTTCGAGTTTTCGAGTTTTCGATCGATTTCCAAACTCGAATCTCTCCTTCGAAGCGCATCGGGGACGAGAAATGGTGCCATTTGTCTGCTAGCAGCGCTCGCGAGATTGCTGTCTTAATTTTCACGGAAAATTCTCTGATCGATGTTGAAAGTTGCTCGGTGCAAAACGTTTACCTAAGTAGTAAGGCGGTTGCAAACAGTTGGTGTCAGCCGCCACGAGAGCCTTCATTCCCGCTTTCATCGAGCCCGTTATGCTACCGCACGTGTCCACAACAGTCATGTCTGTAAAATAGAAAAAGAACCATTCACCATCGATTTTAATCGCGTCTACGAATCTCTATTTAGGAATTAACACGTTGACTGCCGGTCTAAAATCCTAAAATTGTTTACGGGACCAAAACTTTCATTTTAGGCAATTGTAAACTACACAACTTAAAAGTTGTCCTAGTAGTTGCTCTCGTGAGCTCATTAAAATTTACGAAGCCTATTAAAATTTATTTTCTTCAACATTTCAACTTCAGAATTCATTGTTACAGTTCTACTGTTAAAAGTTCTGTCACCCATATATGGGTCACGTGGCAGTCAAAGTGTTAGGAATCTCTGGTCCTCCGAGAAATCTCGTATCTATCGAAATTCTCGGTTCTTTCGAGATCCTTCGGACAAATACAAAAGCAATGCAATAACGATGCAATTTTTGTTTTAGTACCCATCGCGTCTACGAATCTCTATTTACGAATTAAGAATCTCTGTTCCTCCAGAAATCTCGTGTCTTTCGAAATTCTCGGTTCTTTCGAGATCCTTCGGACAAATACAAAAACAATATAACAACGATTAAATTTGATTTAGTATCCATCCTTTCTACCAATTAAAAATCTCTGTTCCTCCAGAAATCTCGTATCTATCGAAATTCTCGGTTCTTTCGAGACCCCCCTACAAATACAAAAGCACTATAACAACGATGCAATTAAATTTAGTACCCAGATCGTACGCCACAAAGTTCCCCTTTCCAAAGTGGTTTCTTTCAAAAGTTGGCACGTGCAATTGAAAAATTGGAGAAGTACAAAACTTTGTATCGCAACGTCTTTACTTTTTGGCATGTTCCCTCGCGGTGGTAAATTCTGGTTTTACCAGAGCCACACGCCATATTCGTTAATAATCTCGAAATGTTGGTGCACACGTTGACCTTAAAAGGCAACGCATTGGCGCGTGGATTTGGTCAACGTCTTTGCCAATTCGGATGAATCGATCGTTTGCAAGGGACGTTTCAAAGACGATTTATGCTTTGCGTACACCCGATATTGCGAATCCTGCTACGGATATTAATATAACCACTGCAGAAGCTTTCAACGTTATTACTTCTCTCAACGTTAACAAAAATCCCAATGTGGCGCGCCCTATTCGTTCTTTATTAAATTTTGCCAATTAATTTCACCTCGACCCTTTTGGACCATCTTTGATAAAGCTGCTAGGTTAGGGATTTCTCGGGGATAGATTAATTTTTCTATTTAATATCCAAGATGAACGATGTAACGTTAGAGGTCGTTGACCTGTTAAGAAAATAAATAAACATAATTTCGTCACGCTCGTTAGATTGCATTGTTGCACTTAAGAAAGGTCAGCAGAGATTCTAGCGGTTTATTGCGCGTAGGAGTAAATTACCGTACGAACAGGATCGATCATGACAACATTTCTATTCTGAATCGTTATAATCCGCCGTCTATTCACGATCGTCGTGTCCTTGTCAATTAAATTTTTCTACTCGATGTTGCTAATGGTCTTAACAACATTGCTCGTATCTTCGGTTTAATTGGTCTTAATTATTACCCCGAGGTCTGCACGTTGCATACCGTTTTCCAGTTACCGATTGTTTAAAATTAATCTAATCATCTACCGTTGAAGAATTTGCAATTAAGCAAATTGTACCAATTAATTTTTTTTTTTCAACGCGTCTATTTATTCTTTCGAGTGTTCCGTAACGTTGCCCCTTTGTTTTCAAACCTGCGATTAATCGAGGTGAATCGAGGACATTGGGAGCTCGATAAATAAATAAAAATCTCTCTTTTCTCAGAATAATCGACAAGAAAATATTAAAAACATATAAAGAATTCGCAATATCGTCGAGGATAAAGTGCAAACGACGCCTTTAGCCATTCGATACGAGCAATTTATTAACCATTCAAGACCCGTTAATTCGTGACGCGCGAAGATAACTCCAAACAACCGGTTAACTCATCTTCCCCCGTTAATGGACAAGGAAGATTCCTAATGATTCATTTGAATTCCCGATACGCGACGAACGGGAATCCTAGCGATTTTCCTTGGCACCGTTTTTGCCCGCGGTAACGAGAATAAAAAGAAAAAAAAAGAGGGAGAAAAGCAAAAAAAAACAGCATGGAAATCTCGTTACCGATGTCGTGTCCGCCGGACTTGTTATTGTGAGTCTCGGCGAGCAGCTTCGCGGCTTCGTACATGAGAACGCCCCTTGGCGACAATTTCCTGCAGGACGGATCGTCGTGGACGCTCGTCAGCAGCGAGATCTGCGCGTGACTTCCGCATTCTGTGCGCCCGCCGCAGGTGCACGCGCAGAGGATCCCGATAATTGCCAATAGCGTTCGCGAATTGGCCATCGGGGACCGTTACTCTACCCAACTTATCCTCTTTCTTTCTCTTATTTTCGTTCTCCTCGATTCTCTACGATTTCCTCATTCCCGCGACGTGGCAACGCGACGTACGCGCACCGTCCACGCGCAACGGTTCGCGCGCAACGTTCACGCGCAGCGGGCAAAGGGACGCTAATAACAGAGCGCTGCGCTGATCGTGCGCGAGTTTTTCCCAGTCGTTAAGCCGCGCAACCTCGACGCTTATTATCTTCGTGTCCTTTTTTTCTCCTTTCTGCCCCCCTTTTGTTGTCGATTCTATTCACTGAACTCTCACTGGACGACTGCAGCGCCGCGATCGCGAACCCCGGGTGCACACGGGGCCTCGTGCGTGTAGCCGAGACACACGAAACGGGAGATTCGTTTTTCGGGTGAATCGCGGCGGCGGCGGCGGACGTTGCGGGTTGCGGTCTGTTCCTCGATGGCTCTTCTTCCACTGCAGACCTTGGTAGTGAAAACCGACGGCTTTATAAGGAAGCCAATGCGACATGTATTATGAGAATTTCTAGGGTTTTAGGCTTCATCGACCGAGCGACAGGCGTTCTCGCGTTGACCTTGTTGCGTCCCCCACCCCCTGCCTGTGTATTTGGCGCGTGACACCACGGTTTACTCCTCTCCCCCTACACGATTAATCTTCGTATCATCCGGTCGAACTTAATTAATAATTCTAAGTCTTACATTTAACAATTTTTATTATCCAAATAACATTTCGAATGAAAAATTTCCCATTTTTAAAGAACATTTAATAATTCGAATTTACACCTGTATTAAATATTTATGTGCACGAGTAATAAATATTCCTGTTCTCAGAGGGGTTCAGCGACCGTTGTTTTACAAGTTAATCCTGGAGAAGCGAACAAGGATAATCCTTGGGGGGGGGACGTGTTTGGTTAAGGGGGGGTTCCTCGAGGTTGAATTTTCGTAACGCGAGAACCCCTCTTAACCAAGTGTAAGCTCGTTAGCATATCGACTACAAGATTGTAAATCCTTGTTGCACAACCTTACCCTTGCATAACTGCGCGATGACTGATTAAACGCATCGCGGGCGCGAAATGCATGGAATTCGCGGCTTCGTGGCGAAATTAGGCTCGAATCCCAACTCGCGTGCTCGTTGAAAACGATCAATCTTCGCTGAGGATGCTCGATCTCCCGGATCGTGTCGCGTACACGTACCATTCAATTTTCAGTTATACGAAGATTACGTATAAATATTCGTAATTAAATTTACTCGATCGTAAAACAGAAATGGAAATAAGATAGAATTAATAATACGATGTGCACCTCTCAAACAGACGTTAATTTCAGTTTCTATTATCCTCTGGAAAATTCAATTTCTTGACTTCGATGTGTGTATTTATTACACATGAATGTTTGTCGTTGTGTTAGATTGTTTGAACGTGTTAATTAGCAATGTAACACCGTTTGCTTTTGTTCCAAGGTAATATCGGTGTATTAATTTTCTTTGGTGTAGAATTAATTTTTTAAATAGCCGATCAAACCTTGACGAACCTTTGCAATCAAAGGGGTAAGGAGTAATTAACACCGTGCGTCGTACAAGTGGGACTTTGTCCTTATCGTTTCCCCCCCTGGGGGAAGAGTCATTGAAATCATACTTGCAAACGCAGTGGGAAACGGTAAATCTTCGTTCGATCTATAAACAGAAGCTGCAGCAAAAGCGTGTGTCCGTTTGACAATCGCGTGGAAGGCGTGTACACGCAGTTCCTCTATCTCGCAACTGATACGAACGGTTTCATCAGATTCTGTGCGTCAGCGATTTTAATATCAACAAGGTAGCACCTGTTTTTGTTCTACGTTTCTACCCACTTTTCCCCACCCTCGAGCGTAAGTCTGCTCTTTTTTTCAAATCCATGGCAGCGTATAGCGTGTTCGAAAAAGGAGTATATATCCTTCTTATCACCGGGAGAGAATTAAATGCGAGAAACAGAAAGCACAGACGAGGAATACGAGTAGATCTTAGACTAGAAATTAAAAAATTTCAAATCGTTTTAGAAAAATTATTTTTAGTTAAGAGGGTCCATTACAATAATTTTTGGTGAATAGACGTACCCTTGAAATGTTAACCAGTTTCGAGAAAAAAATTCGTGTAGGTGTGTCATTTTTTGACAAAATTAAAAATTTTCAAATCGTTATAAAAAAATTATTTTTAGCTAGGGAGGTCCATTACAATAATTTTTGGTGAATAGGCGTGCCCTCGAAATGTTAATCAGTTTCGAGAAAAAAATTCGAGTAGGTGTGACACTTTTTGACAAAATTAAAAATTTTCAAATCGTTTTAGAAAAATTATTTTCAGTTGCAGAGGTCCATTGCAATCATTTTTGGTCAATAGACATGCCCTCGAAATGTTAACCAGTTTCGAGAAAAAAATTCGAGTAGATGTGAAACTTTTCGACAAAATTAAAAATTTTCAAATCGTTTTAGAAAAATTATTTTTAGTTGCAGGGGTCCATTGCAATCATTTTTAGTCAATAGACGTACCCTCGAAATCTTAACCAGTTTCGAGAAAAAAATTCGTGTAGGTGTGTCATTTATTGACAAAATTAAAAATTTTCAAATCGTTATAAAAAAATTATTTTTAGCTAGGGAGGTCCATTAGAATAAGTTTTGGTCAATAGACATGCCCTCGAAATGTTAACCAGTTTCGAGAAAAAAATTCGAGTAGATGTGAAACTTTTCGACAAAATTAAAAATTTTCAAATCGTTTTAGAAAAATTATTTTTAGTTGCAGGGGTCAATTACAAACATTTTTGGTAAATAGACATACCCTCGAAATCCTGCGCATTTTCGAGAAAAAAATTCGAATAGGTAAACGAATTTTTCGGCGAAATTAAAAAGTTTCAAATCACCCTGAAAAAATTATTTTTAGTTCTCTGGGTCAATTTCAATCATATTTTGTGAATACACATACCCTCGAAATTCTACGCATTTTAGAGAAAAAAATTCGAGAAGGTAGACAAATTTTTCGACGGAATTGAAAAATTTCAAATCGTTTAAAAAAAATTATTTTTAGTTGCAAGGGTCAATTACAAACATTTTTGGTGAATACACATGCCCCCAAAATCCTACGCACTTTCGAGAAATAAAATTAAGAAATAATTCTTCGTTAATTCGTGTGATTAGAAAAATTTAAGAAATTGTCCAAATTAGTTAAACGCGACTCCATATAATATTGAAAATAAATTGTAAAAAATTCATTTACGACTACAAAAATTCCAGGATTTTTCTAATTTTAGTCATACCCATAAATATGAAGTAAAATTTCATAAGTCCAAAGCAATTTCAAGTAATTACAGAATCCAATCTGGTAAGAGTAATTAAAGTTCCGTTTGCAAGCTGCTTGTATCGTATTAATGAAATTTTACCGATACCTCAGTTTATACGATATCGATATCGAAAATTGAACATAAATTACACACTGTATGCAATTAACGATATTTTACTATCTGGTCCCCAAATTAGTAGCGAATTTTTCTCCTAAGTTTAACGATACCATTTTGCACAATTTTTATGGAGAATCTCGAACAGAGAGACAGTCGAGTCGACGAGTACCGGGTGTCGAGAAAGTGTCGAAGATTTAGGGGCTGTGCAGTAAACTGGATTAAAATTCGCCTAGTCAGCATAAGTAAAGGAACTAACATCGTCAGGGTCAGGAGCACTCCTTCTTCCTTAAAACACCTTCCTCAGAATCACGCTCGTTTATTCAAATCAAATTGTTTTTCTCCTCGTCGAACTTTACTGCTCGTGATTTCCAGAAAATTCTACTTTTTCCACACTTCATTCATCTCGAATTTATTTTACTTTAGATTGCAATAATACCACACATTCTATCGACAAGAATTAAAAATTTCGAGCGGTAGAAAGTATTTTAGTATCGGTGAACAGTTTCGAAAGTACTCGAGTCCCATAATAACACCGCCGGAAACTTTAATAACGCAATTACTTTTATCCGATCATAGTAATTTGCTCATCCACTGTACTCGGGATTGCGTACAATTACCTTATTCGTTCTCAGAATTCTCAGTAGCTCATCTTTAAGATCTCGTTTCTCTGTGTGTGTGGCTTTCCTCTTATTGTACTTCGTGTATCGTGTGCGCCGATTATGGTTATGTCTACCATGTGTGTTGTTTTATCCCGCTAATGATCGTTGCGTGTAAGAAGCCGTGGATATAGGGGTGCCGGTCTAACGCGAACATGATTACTTTTCTGCTTTACCTTGAGTTCTTCCCGCAGTTCGTCCCTCTATCGTGTTTACGAGCTGTGCTTCTTAACTGAAATCCCTCGGAAATAACAGATTTATTTATTTACGTAAGGCAAAGTTCCCGCTGCCGTCTCGTTGTTTTGTAATGGCCCCTTAAACGCGGCAAACACCGCTGTCGCGTTCACAAAATGGCAGACGTTACGTCGGCGAAGAGATGTTTGCCTCTCGAAAACCCCAACGTCGAATTTGACGATGAAACTCGTGTAACTCGAATTTCGAGGGACTTTTACAAATCATATTAACCCCTTGAGAGTAATATTTCAAAATAAACGAGTCGAAAAGTCACTGAAAATAACTTGTTAAAGAACTACATTCAAGAATATATATATATATTTCATTTGGTTGAATAATGTATGTTTCTTTTTTTTTTTCACGTTTCAAGTACGGAGGTTAATATTATTTTTATTAAAACAATAATTACAATTTTTATTAAACAATAATTATAATTTTTATTAAACAATATTTGTTTAATCCAGCGGTTTAAGGGATGATAATATTTCTTTTCCCTCGAATTATACGTTAGACACAACATTGTAATTAACAAAAACCGTATTTTTAGAAACAAATCCATAATATACATAATATATATCCATGATATAATCAATAATATTTGTTTTCCTTCAAATTGCACGTTAGATACAACATTGTGATTAACAAGAACCGTATTTTTAGAAACAAATCCAATAAAGAATAATTGTTGGTTAAATATATGTTAAGGGGTTAACGAAACAAAGAATTAATGCAAGCAACAAACGTGAATTTAACCTTAAAATATGAGAGGTGTTCTCTTGCAAAGAAGCTTTGAAAATTGTAGATCCTTTGGAACACCAGGAATTTCAATTTTAATTAAACGAATTGCTCGCTTCGTTGCGTTCAATTCTTTTAAGAAGGAATTTAACATTTGAAAGAAATTTAAAATTAACTTCGTAGAAATGTAGAAGAGCCGGTCTCGCGAAGCCAATGAAGCACAGGTGGCAGTAGAAATCAGTCAGCTATCGAACTGCGTTCGATCGAGGAGTTCTCGACAGCTGGCGCCACTGGTCAGTAGTTGCAAACCAACGTTTATGTTGTCACATGAAACCGTTCGTTATATATCACGTGACGGAATCCGTTAACGGTTCAGCGTTTCACACGGCGTGCAATCGCCCTTTTCGGTTA